AGGAGTCAAATGTATGGGTGATACCTAAAAAGGTGCAATGTTTCTCAAGAAGGTATTATAGGAAAGGAACGAAAGGTGTAGGAGAGTGTGGCTGGACAATGCGGTGTTTGAAATAGTGATTTCAGATGTGATGCCATTTCTGACCAAGTTCTATACAAATAACAGGAGGTAAAGAAGGGCTAATGAAATAAACCATAACAAATGATTTACTTTAGTTAACTGGTAAATTTTTCTTTTCTTTTTTCTAATCTTCTTCTCTTTTCCTTTCTTTTCCTTTCTTTTCTTGTCTTGTCTTTTCTTTTCTTTTCCTTTCTGTTCTTTTCAGTAGAGCCTTGAAAGACTAAATTCTATTTCTAATGGAGTTCACAGAATCTCTATTTGAAGATATTGTTTGGTTTTTATTAAAATATTTTTTAATATTTCATTTATTCCAGAGAGAAACAGAAAGAGAGAGCACGAGCAGGTGAGGGGCAGAGCAAGAGAGGGACACAGAATCTAGAGCAGGCTCCAGGCTCTGAAGTGTCAGCACAGAGCCCCACATGGGGCTCAAACTCACAAGCAGTGAGATCATGACCTGAGCCAAAGTTGGAGGCTTTACCGACTAAGCCATCCACGCACCCCCAAGTTTTTAAAAGCAAATTAACTAACCAAAACTTTTCTTAATTATTTTAGCTGTAAGTTTTCTTAGGAAAGGAGGATTATTTATAATTGACTTCTCAAGATCATGGCAGCAGTATAGAATCCTGTGACATCTAAATAATGGGCTTTTTTAAAAAAGAAATTTTGCATTTTTTCACCTCTGAAATTTTGTTCATGAATGCAAATGAGCAAATCTGTAAGGCCTAAAGATATCATTGGATTAAATTATATAAATTAAAAAAAATTATTAGTATGATATGGGAGCTAGCCAATAGTTACTGTTACCTGTGAAGTCATAGGCATGAAAATGTTATTTTTATCATTTGAAATTAATGTTATTGTACAAATTATCTTTTTAAATCATTTTTCAAGTCTGCCATAATGTGAGAGAAAAACTCTACTAATAAATTCTTTTGTCTCAGCCCACTAACATGACATCAGTTGGATTTGAAACAACTCACATTAAGACAGTGAATATTATTAAGGCAATATAGAGAAGAGCAACATATAAGCACAATTCATATGGACATTTCTTCAGAAAATGATAAAATGCCAGTTGTGTGAAGATGAATAAATTTTTCCACTGTATAGGGAGAGGACAACAAGCTATTCTTCTTTTAATAAAAATATGACCATTTACACAATAAATCTGAGTGATTTGATACATATCTCCTTGCAGCACCTTACTGGAAAGTAGGTGGTTGATTTGGCCCGGGAAAGCTGAAACTAAAGCCAAGAAACTGAAGCAATAAGCTGAAGTATTACTGTTCAGACACTGGAATTTAGAATAATTATGTTTTTTTTAACCTCAAGATTATTTTTAATAAGGCATATCAGTTAACAAAACATTTAAATACCTGTACACTTTCAAGTTATATGTAATAATGTCAAGTGATAGTGGGACTTAAATATCAGAGAAAACAATAACAACAACACAGTAATAGAAATTCAGACAAACTAATGAGCTTGTCTGATTTGACCAGACCATGGTCCCCAATTCTAGGAATCTTGCTCAATAGCATCATGTTTTGGCATGCGTTCCTTATCATTTTATGCATAAAAACAAAACAAAGCAAAGCAAAACAAAACAAAGCAACGACAACAAAAAATACCCCTGTGTTCTTCCAACAAAATGGTGCTATTTGAAACAAGAACTAGCAGTGTGTATAAACATAGGTATTCTTAAGAATGTACACCTTTAGAGTCATTATTTTATAATGTTGTTCAATGTGATCTTCCTTTATTGGAATTAAAGACATACTGGCCATTCAATAACAGTGTGTTATTATTGTCATTATAAATCTATTAGACATATCCAGGTGGGTTGAATAACAGCCTTGTGACCAAATTCTCCTTCTCTTACTTTTAGCATAGCATTTACAAGAACACAAATTGTTCCTTATTTGTTTTTGCCTATGGTAAAAATTCTAAGAAAATGTAAAAGTCCTCTCCTTTGCCCTGGATATCAATAGAAGTATTGAATGTAGTGAGTTTTAAGTTGTATTTGGTCATTTTTTATAATAACCAGTAAAACATAGCTGTATCTAATAAACTTAGTATTAACAGTTATTGAATTTAGAATATTCTACCCCAAGTATAAAGTCGGATGCTGTCAGGTGAAGTGGGGCAAAGAGATCTAATGCCTTCTTTTTCTTAATGTTTTTTTTTTTTTTTAATTTATTTTTGAAAGAGAGAGAGAGAAAGGGGTGGGGATGGGTAGAGAAAGGGAGACAAAGGATTGGAAGCAGGCTCTACATTGACAGCAACAAGACCTATGTGGGGCTTGAACTCACGAACCCTGAGATCATGACCTAAGCCAAAGTTGGATGCTTAACTGACTGAGCCACCCAGGTGCCCAGAGATCTAACGTTTAATAAGAGTGTACGGTTTCCATAATCTTTGGAAGCCTTATTTTCCTTCTTCAAAATGGTATAAAACAAATGCATATAAACAAATACACATATACATTAATTTGCAAGAGACATGAAGCATGGTTGCAGTAGATGTTATATTAATTTCAAAGTTAAATCGGGAGTACTCTACCATATGGAAGAACCCAAACTAGGAGATATGCCAAACATGACCTTCATTTTAATAACCCTGGGATATTGGTAACTTCAACTTAATTCTTAGGTCCAAATTACAAATAAATTTGCTGATATGAAGCTTTTTATTATAGTTTGATATATTATTTAAGTACTTACAATGATCTACATTCATAATAGATGAGCTAAAAATGTTGCTATGCAATGTAAGGTATACTTTGCATTAAAATTATACCAGTCTATTTAAAATACTGAATTTACCATTAATTTTTCCAGTGCAACTGTATTTTAATTATTGCAATGCCACACTCATGTTTTGAAAGAAGTTGTGAAATAGCACTGAATGTTTCTGCTTGATATTTATTGAAATTGTCGATGGCAGTCCATCGATCTATTAATCTGGCATCTATCCACATGTACGAAGGGCTCAGTCAAAACATTTTCCCTAATTTTTTTTTAAACTTCTAAAAAGAACATACGGTTTGGAGTCTGTTGGTCACCAAATTTGCCAAAGATTTAGGAAAATGACTCCTTTCATGGCTCAATCAGAACCTCATCTAAAATTCAGCAGAAATCTAAGACTTCAAGCTGCCATCCCCACTCCTGTTTCCATGGGAATAGACTTCAGATCAGGAAAAAAAAAAATAAAAAGGATGGGGTTAGGAGCTTTCAAATAATCATTCAAAATCATGATGAAGCCTTTAAAGCTTCTTTCTTAGGTGATTATTTTGTAGCCTCTTAACCCCTTTTTGCCAGTCTGTTTCCATGGAAATATGACAAAAATGGCTGTCTGAGCCTCCAGCAGAGATTATTAGCATTCTTGTGAATTTCAGCGTTGGCTGCAGTCTAGTCTGGGCAAGATCTTTTTTTATATCAGTTTTACATATTAACCTACACTCTTTACATTCATTGTCCTTTTTCTTAATATTTTTTAGTTTCTTTGAAAATTCCTTTCACAACTGTATACCTATAATCAAGATCAAATAGGTTGTGACTTTACTGGAAAAGGCTTCAGTTTTACATTTTACTATATGAGCCAGGACAGGTAGCTGCAGAGAGTGTCAGAACTTTTAGACACCTGCAGAAGGAAATATTATTTAGTTACTGGACTCAGTGTCTGTCAGGTGGTGGTAGATAAACAACAAGGTGTAACAAGGGTGGTATTCAAAATATTTAGCAACTGGTAAGGCACAGCACTGACTGATCAGAGCAGCTGGCTTGCACCGGTGAATTATCAGTCCTCTTATATAATAGCCAAGAAGTTCTTTAACTCAAAGCAGTCCCATATATGATGGTAAGCATTATGCCCAAATAAATTATCCAAGGTCAAAAACTGAGCTCCTATAAAACTTACAAAAGAGCTTACAAGAGAAACTGGGTAGAAATATATAGCAATCCATCTTTAAAAAAATCAAAGTGCATATGCTTGCGTCATCTTTCATATGAAGGTCATTTGAAAATCAAAATCATTCTTATTATTGAAAATATCATTCTAAAAGAGAAAGAACATATGTATCTTTGATAGAACCCCTCGCAGGATAGCTTATATTGAATGTGAAAAAATAACAGCATGCCACATACACATTTTATCTGTCCTACCTTCTGAAATCTGCTGAACAGCTCAATCTACAATTTTTGCTGGGGGGGAATCTTAAAGTTCTGATTGACCTTATAAAGTATTTTTGTTCTTCAGAACACTCTTATTTTTCTATAGTTGGAGCTTTTTACCCATAAGGTTTGTCTTCCGAATTTGAACTGAAAAAAGTAAATTTCCATCGGTAATTATCTGACTTGGGTAGGTTCCTGATTTAAATTTAGCACAAACTGACTTACTACAGAAACTAACCTTGATTGATGTTTTCTGCTAAGTGGATAACAATAATAAAATAAAGCAGCACAATTAATTTTTCAAATCATCATTACTACTCCCAAATGCAATGTGCCCTTCTTTGCATAGTGGTTAAACACAGAGCTCTTGTGAGAGCAGAATTTGGTCTTCAGCCCTTCAGCCTTCATCGTGTTTGTGTAAATCAGATTTACTGCAACACAGGCAAATCCACTTTTGTGTGTTGTGTCTTTAGGTACCTATGGATGTTCACCCACCTAAAGGACAGAGCTGTGGTCTCTAGTTTCCATAGAGACCACATTGCACAAAAAGACTATTTATTCTCTGGTCCTTTAAGAAATTTGCTGACCACTGCTCAAGGCTTTAACTATAAATATTATACCATTTGTAAGTAGTGAAGTCTTTATTTAATTCTAAAAGCAGTCTATTAATAACGCATAAAAATGTGATTGCCTGGTGTCTATACTTACATCCATGAACTCCACATTGGCTTTGGGACCAGTTGTTTCATTAAGAATCTTAATAGCCACAGGAATCTTTACTGTTTCTCCTTCAGGTACCCAAATACCCTTCGGGGGAAAAAATCACATAAAATCTATATGAAGACATATACAAATTCATACCAGAGACAAAATTTGATTTAACCACTCTATTAATTTCTTTAAAAAAATAATTTAGAAGTTCTACATCTTTTTATTCAATCAAAAAAATTTAACAAGTACCTGCTATATGTTACAAGTTACATAGCAACTTTGTTTTCTGCTTTCATTATTTGAGAATGACTCATTCATTTATTCTGCTTTCAAGGTGTTTACTATTATATTATAAAGTATCACATTATAAAATTCAATTTGTATGTGTGAAAAAGGCTTTCAATAGAGAAAAAAATGACATAAAATATAATAATATTAGATTAGGATAAAAATCAACTTCTCAAGACTTTGAGAATGCTGTTCCAATTTTTGGTCTTCAAATGTCTCATTTGTAATTTAGAAGACTGGGCTAAGTAACCTTGGTGGTTCTTTTCAGCATTAATATTACCTAATTATTCTGCAACTAAAACAAACAAAAACATAAAAATAGCATAGTCTCACATTCCTGAAATTGAGATTGATTTAAGAATTAGTTTTCTAAGGAAAGTACTAGGGAGTATTGACCACCTATTAATTTGTTTAGATTGCTAAATACTGTGTATGTGTGTGTCAAGGATTTTTATTAGCTCTGAAATAATGTAAAATATTTATATTGGTCACCGCCAGTTCTCTCCTCCTACAAAAATATAATATCTGAGCAAGATCTATACAGTGGGAAAATATAAAGTAGGTAAGGTTTGAGTCAAGTACAACATTAAGGAAAATACCAGCATTTCTGAGTAAACAACTATTTGAATTAGGACAATAATTTTGATAAGATAAATAGGGGTGCATCGATTACATGACAATTTTTTTGAAGCACATTGTCCCAAATGAACACTGAAACAAATGTGAGGTTATATGGAAAAAATGGAAATCTCAGATTTTAAATTATTAGCCCTGACACCAAAAACAAAAGTATTCTTAGTCCAGTTTTAATATTAAAATGAAAGGGGGAAAAGCAATCTCTTATTCCTAAAGAGAATTTCTAGTCTTTTCCTAATATCAATTGGTTGTAGTTATAAAAAAAAAAAAAAAGTTTTTCGCTTTGTACTTCTACACTAAAACATGTATATTTGTATCATCAAAAGTTGCAATAATACAAGAGGAGAACTAAATACAAAAATTATTTAAAAAAATCAGAATAATAAAGAAAAACTCTTTAACCATTAGAAGGTGAATTTAAGGGTTATATTCTTCTTAGAGTGAATAGGGAAATTTATGTGTCAAATACAAAAAAGGGGCACCTGAGTGGCTGAGTCAGTTAAGCATCCGACTTCAGCTCAGGTCACGATCTCACAGTTCGTGAGTTCGAGCCCCGTGTTGGTCTCTGTGCTGACAGCTCAGAGCCTGGAGTCTGCTTCAGATTCTGTGTCTCCCTCTCTGACCCTCCCCCATTCATGCTCTGTCTCTCTCTGTCTCAAAAATAAATAAACATTGAAAAAGATTTAAAAAAATACAAAGAAATAAGCCATGTTCCCTGTGGTATTATTATTATTTTTTTAATTATTAGTGCAGAAATGGGGTAGGAGAGGCAGTGAAAGTCCAAGATCCATAGGCTACATTTTCTTAGTGATGGTATCTAGGGTAGAGAACACGTTTACCATTACTCAATAAAGTAACTAAAGAGGGGATTACTTTATAAAGATATATCATCAATATTAAAATATTCCTAAAGTATACTTTTGAAATAAGAATATAAATTCAGTGTGAACTAATTTGTACTGCTTTTAAATAAGTATAGTCATTATTTTCTAGGCCTGACCAGACAAAAATTCAACTATGCTAATACCCACAATATTGGTTCAGATCTTTTATGTTTAAACACAGCATATCTCCAACCAGGAGGAAAAATTAACCAAATAATTAGCTAAGCTAATTTGCATTTATGTGGTCAAGAATAGTTCTTTACATGTTAAGACAGTATGTCTTTGTAGGAACTTATATACTAATTAAAACTTAGGGTCAACCATACACACTGCAGGCATAAAATTTAAACATACTTATGGAACCTTCAATACAAATAATTTCAATAAAGGTATAAAGTCACGGACAACAGGCAAATAATCATTCATAATAAAAACATTCATATAACTTTATTAGTAAATGTCTAAATGGGTAATTTTTCCCTGCTGAGGTCATTAGATCATATTTGTCCTTGAGCTAAATGTTATCCATGATTTAAAATAAAATTTTTCTTTCCAGATCATACCATCTTTTTTAAAAAAAAATTTTTTTTTTCCAACATTTATTTATTTTTGGGACAGGGAGAGACAGAGCATGAACGGGGGAGGGGCAGAGAGAGAGGGAGACACAGAATCGGAAACAGGCTCCAGGCTCTGAGCCATCAGCCCAGAGCCCGACGCGGGGCTCGAACTCACGGACCGCGAGATCGTGACCTGGCTGAAGTCGGACGCTTAACCAACTGCGCCACCCAGGCGCCCCAGATCATACCATCTTTAAAATAAAAGGGTGGTGATATGCTAGGAGCAATCTAAAACTGAGTTATCTTCAAACAGGAAGTCCATTATTTCTAGCATATATATAAATAGAAAAACAGGATAAGTTGTGTTTCTTCAACATTACAAAGAATTTGAAGACTGGAAAGCACCAAGCCAGCCTAGAATAGTTTCTATTCCAGTTAGGTGCTCAATTAATTTTGAGTGTAATTGAACATAATATGTACACTAAATAGATTAAGAAATTTCTGCATTTTGGCCCTAGAATAAAACAACTTTATTCTAAAGAGATTAAATTATTTTTGGAACACTCAGGAGAGAGAAAATTAAGATTAATGTTCTACTTGTTAATATTTTTTGTTAAGTAAATACCTGTTTCACATAGAAAAAAAAACAAACATTGTAAAATACAGAATTTCTAAGATCCAGTCTATTTTAACAAAAATGTTTGTAAAAATAACTGTAGGCTTGCATATAGCTTTAAGAAATATATAAAACTGTCAAGTAAAATTTGGGGAACTGTCACAATGGACAGTCTAAGAAGGATTTAGCACTAACCCAGCAGAAATTTGAATTTGAAAAACAAATTTCACCACAATTAACCTTGGGCCTGGCCTCTGAATTGGTTTTGTAATTAAGCTAAAAAAGTAAACACGCAGATAACATTATTTGAGCTTTCCCTTTCCAAAAAGATGTCTCTTATTGGAAACCCACGATGTCACCCTTTCATTCTCCGACCTGAATTTCACAAATAAAGTCACTTTTTTAGTTTGCATATAATGGTGAAGACATCAAAACTGAGAGTTTTCTGGGGCGCCTGGGTGGCTCAGTCGGTAAAGCGGCCGGCTTCAGCTCAGGTCATGATCTCGCGGCCTGTGAGTTTGAGCCCCGCATCAGGCTCTGTGCTGACAGCTCAGAGCCTGGAGCCTGTTTCCAATTCTGTGTCTCCCTCTCTCTGACCCTCCCCTGTTCATGCTCTGTCTCTCCCTGTCTCAAAAATAAATAAAACGTTAAAAAAAAATTAAAAAAAAAACTGAAAGTTTTCTGTTAAATCATATATGTTAACAGGTAGGCAAAAAGTAGTTTAGGAACTAGTCCTATCCTGTTAACCAGTCAGCACATTTGTGTAGGTTTTAAAAAGATAGGCTAGTAATGTCCTGGTGGGGAGACATGTGGATGAAAGAGCAGAAGAAAAGAAGAGCAAGGATTATGGTCCATGGCTCAGGCCTGTCTGGGATGCCCCGCAGCACTGTGTACGCAGAAGGAAAGTGGGTGAGAGCTGTGTATTTTAGATAAGGACAGATTTACCAATAGGGAGATCATATCAAACGGGGTTCAGAAGGGCGTGGAAAGACATGGCTTCCGTGACAGTTTCCTGCTTTCTCATGACTGTACCCATCCCAGCCCTCAACAAAAATGAATGGATTCACTTGTGCAGCAACTTCTCAATACAACAAAGGTTCCACTCTCTGGATATTAAAAGGAAATTAGGTTGGCGAGAGCAATTAACTCTGGCTATTATTTAAGACAAGTCTGAAAGGAAACTTAAAGTAACTAATGGTATGGGTTTTTACTCACTTTATACACTGTTCCAAAAGCTCCCGAGCCAAGTACTTTCACTCTTTTGAGCTCAGTTTCTTTTAAAATACGCAGTTGAGCTTGATTGGGTGCTGTGCCGCTGGGAGTTAAGGGTTCTACCAACTACAAAACAAAAAAGAATACAGGTTATACAGCTTTCCATTCACCAGTCAGTGCTTCCCCCTCTTCCTCTGCCTGCTTCTCTTTCTCATACATACAAAAACACACAAGCACACTTTCATTGACAATATTTTTGTAGTATGGACCACTCACAATTCCTTCAGAGTCTATCTTTTCTCTTCCCATGCTTTTTGCCTAGCTGAACACAAGTATAAAACTGTGACTACCTTGAGGCATACTAAGATAGGGGATTTTTCTCCCTATTTTTAGAAATTTAGGCTGATTAGGGCCTCTAAAGCTTACTTTTTGAAGTGCTTCCAGTTTTGGTATCCCCAGCTAAGACTCAGAGATCTTAGTTATGTCCATGTACTCTATCAAAGTTTTCTTTCTTGTTTTAGGAGATTTGATACGTAAAAAAATAAAATGTTGTCTTCTTAGCATTGAAAATCTAACTGGGAAGCCAGGACAAACAAATGGTTGGAAGAAAATAAAGTAAGTTAGCACACTACCAGTGCCCCAGGGCAGTGCTTCTAACACTTTGGTGTACATTTGAATTACCTGACATTCTTGGTAAAATACAGATTCTGGTTCAAGAAGTCTAAAGTTGGGGCTGAAATTTGCATTTTGCAGAACTCCAGGTGATATCTATGTACGATGATGGTCCTTCAACACATTTTAAGCAGCAAGGCCCTAAAGTACCTTAAAGATAAAAAATTCTAAAATTCTATGAACTCATTCTAGATCCTACGTGAATGCTTTGGAATGCAAAGGAATAAAATAACCAGGAGCGAGTAAGCTTTGCTACTTTTGGCTTCCTGGACGAGGTACACTTTAAAGTTGGACTTGAGATAATAAAAATGGATTGACATGGAGGAGGGTTTGCCAATGTAAAGAGCAGTTTGGACACAGCATCAGGGAGGAGGAAGAAGACAGAAAGCAGAATGCAACGAGGGGTGGGACAGGTCTGAAGGAGGAGATCAGGATGGGAAACCCCAGACTGTAAAGTGGGCTGGGTGTGGCCAAAAGATATAAATACAAATAATTTTAGATGCTCAGTTTAGATGCCATTCAGCCAGAGAGGATGAGTAAGGAGGGGAAAGATATGTGAGTATGTGCCAATTTCCTGCTTATGTGAGGGGGAGGAAAAAAAAAAAAAGTAAACGTGAGATTGACTGTGGGTACCAATAGTCTACATCCTGTGTTAAAATTTTAGGTTTTTATCTATGCTTGAGCAAAAATGCAAGTGAGAGAAATAGAAGTTTCTTTTTTAAAAGTTAAATTAAGGAACTAAACTTTAAACTCAGACAAATAACTGGTTCTTTCTCAGCCTAAGGAAATAATTAAAAGCGACGCCTACTCAAATTGCCTTGAAAACCATCACAGTATTTCACAATGTCTGTTTACAATGCTAAGTGCACTGTGACCCTCTGGCTTGGTTATTATTATGCTTCTGTGAACATAATGGTCTATTTCAATAGCTGAACAGAATCTTGAGTATAGGTAAGTGCAGTGAAAATCAACAAGAATTTGGAGAAGATGATAAAATTATCAATAAATTTAGGCTATGGACTAAAAGTTTGACCACAAATATGCTTCTATTTCATTTTCAAATTTACATTTCAAAAAATGCATACAATTGTGTTCAAGTCACCTAAAATAAATCTCAGAATGAATTACAAAACTTTTTGAAAAACTAGAAGAAGAATCTCCCTCAGAAAACGTCCTTTATTCGAATCCAACTCTGCTGTGCAGAATTTGTTCAGTAGATTTTGATACACACACTATATGTATATAATCAGGAACTTTAATAAATTATCTTTTTAAATCATATAAAAACTTATATAAAAATCATATGCAAGATTGGGGACTACATTTTAGCACTATGGGCTATATGTATTTAAAACAGATGCTTTGGCACATAATATTGCCATAATTTCATGTTTTGAGAACTTCACTATTCTACCTGAAATGTTTAGTCTTCTGCAATTTTATTAGATGTCACTTAAAATTTTTACAAACATATTTTTCCAGGCATTTGCGAATGATGTCTTTAAAAGAGGCATTGTTTCATTTGCATGCCAAGATGGCAAAAAGAGGGTCAAGTTTAAATTTGTAGGTTTGTATCTTAGTACTGCCACTCACAAGCTTAGAAAGCAATTTATCCCTCCTTGTCCCTCATTTCATACTCGTAACATAGATATGGCAATAATTACCTTCGAAGAGTGTCAAAAGATGCAATGGGGTATAACATAGCTGGAAAACTTTGGAATATTGCCTGCCATATTGTAAGCTCTGAATCTGTCACTCTTCACGGGATAGGATCATGTCCCATTAACACTTTTTAATCACAGTATCTATCAAAGTATCAAGCTTACAGTGCAACTCAGTAAGTGTATGTTAAATAAAAACAAACATATTTTCTACTTTTATTCACGTAACAGAAGACAAGACAATCTGGAGCAAAACGATTTTGGAAAAGCATATTTACTCTAAGTACATTCCAACAATATATCATGCTTTAACAAGTTTTTCACATCTGAGACAGATTTCAAGCTTCGGTAGTTAAGGATTTTAGTTGATCCTCTTAAGAACTCCTCTTCTATTTAGATGGCAGAAAATCATAGTTATTTACTTCTCCTGAGAGAAAGATGGGACTTCTACAATTATCTAATTTAGTACTAAGCAATAATTTTTTATAAAAATTAGAATCTGCTTATAAAACTAATCAGCATTTGCTTATTTAGTAATTAAATGCCATTTAAAGGACATTCTTAGCACCATATAAAAAAAAGAAAACACACAAAATAATAATTATTTATTTATTTATTTTTAAAGCAATTCTTTTTATTTATTTATTTATTATTTTTTTTTAACATTTATTTATTTTTTGGGACAGAGAGAGACAGAGCATGAACGGGGGAGGGGCAGAGAGAGAGGGAGACACAGAATCGGAAACAGGCTCCAGGCTCTGAGCCATTAGCCCAGAGCCCGACGCGGGGCTCGAGCTCACGGACCGCGAGATCGTGACCTGGCTGAAGTCGGACGTTCAACCGACTGTGCCACCCAGGCGCCCCAAAATAATTATTTTTGTAGCAATGAGACTTTTCTGCCTGTGGTTATGGGACAGAACTCGTTTTCTATTTATTCAGTCACTTAAATAGCCACTGCTGTTCCAAGTCTTCAGTTCCTCTCCAACTCTAATTTACTTCACTCTTTAGAATTCTCTTTACAACTGCCCCAAGCTGGCCATGAGGGAGAATTCTACCTGCCTACAGCATCCTAGCTAAACTGAAAATAAGCACAGCACAGGTGTTGTGTCCAAACTTTTATTCATGTGCAGGGTTGAAAATGATGAAGTTGATCTATTTGTAAATATCCAGATCAAGTAAGAGTTATTACTATTTTTTCTCATGTACATAATTGACTACCTATCTTATGCTTAGCCATCTCTATTGATGAGACAATCCATTTGAATTTTAGACACCTCCAATTCTTAGAAATTCTTTCCTCGGTGTAACTGTAGGTACTTGAACATTTCACACGATTCTTCTATCTACTTTCAACTTCTAAAGAAAGAGAGCTAAATTTTATTTGCTATCAGTTTGCAAAATTTATAAATGAATGTTCTCATTCCTGTCAGTATTAACAGGAAAAGTCAGACTGTCACACTGACAATGAGCAAGAAAACAAACCAGGGAAGGCTCAGTCTCAGAACAGAATTGCTGTGAGCTGTTCAGACAGCCAGAGATGTGTATATCAGAAGAAAGAGGTAAGATGCGAGTTGAGAAGGATATGGAAATGCATAGTTTTCTGTAATTGTTTTTCCCCTGTAACCTGTACAGTGAAAACTATCATGTTGTACACTAGAGAACTCAGTGTGGCAATATAAAAGAAATTATAATAATTTGTGGGTAATTTACATATTCACAACAACTAACACACATAATATTAAATGATTCCCATAAATTGTGTAGTAAGGTCTGTGTGATTACAATACTAAGCTTCATCCTGTAAGCTCAGCTTTTTACTGCTAGCATAGTGGGATCAGTGGCTACCAATTTAATGACGGTAATTAAAGCATAAATTGCTGGCCTATCTGTTTTTATTTTCAAACAGAAAAATTCTAACATTTTTCTAGTTCTGCTGTTGAGACTTCATCCACCCAGATGTTTTCTGTTCTGCTACTGTAATATCCTAGAGCTTGCCTTTGGGATTCGTCTCCCAAAAGAAACAGATATGTCTTTTCAATAAGACCTGTCGTTCGAGAAGATAATAGTCTCGCCCTTGGTATTTGTCCTCTTTAAGCCATGAAACTGCCGTGACTACTTTTACTATATACTCTGATTTTTCATCAACTTTGTATAACATACTATGAACTATAAGCCCTTGGCAGGAAATTGAACAGCATTTCCCTTGGATTCAAAAGCTGAGTATCATCTAAACCTTCTAAACCTAATGAAAAGCCCCAAACACATGCAGAGAAGAAATAAACACCTCACCTCTGTTTCCAGAAATCTTCTCAGGGCTCTTTTCTTTTTGATACTCTTCCTTCTAACATAAACTGCAAATGTTAGACCCACGATGACCAGGATGAAGAGCCCACCGATGACTCCAGCTGCAATTAGAGGAGTTCTGCCAACCGAAGGAAAACAGGAAAAAAACAAGTAAGAGGAGAGACAAGACAGAGGAAGAAAAAGAGTGGATGTAGGATACATTATCCACATACCACAGATCTAGTCAGTTAGAAGAAAAACAAACAAAAAATTGCATTAAAGCTGTCACAAAATTTTTCTCATGACAAAGACTATTTCTGCTTTTTGTTTTGCTTTGTTTTTTTAAATAAACCATGCACAAACAACTAATCTTTGGAGACGAGCAGCCACAGCATGCCATTTGACCAAAAAAAAAAAAAAAAAAAAAGAAAATATATATATGTATGTGTGTGTGTATACATATACATATATATATTACACTTAGTAACAGAATGAAGAACATATGCCAAAATATTGATATTTAAGCATTTTAAATTGTTTTAATTGTACTTGTATCTATAAATAAATGGAAATATATTTTAATAATGTTGTGGTATATAATATTATTTCCAAAATTTTTTCTAAAGTAGACTTTCTCAACAGTGGCACTATTGACATTTTAGGCTGGATACTTATTTGTTATGGGGGACTGTCTCATGCATGTTAGGGTGTTTATCAGCATCCTTGTCCCCCATCCACTAGATGCCAGTAGCACCCCCATCCTTCAGTCGACAATTTCACTAGATATTGTCAAATGTCTGCCCAAATCACCGCCTTTTGAGAACTACTGCTCTAACGCAAAAATAGTGGTCTGGAAATATATGAACCCCACACCTCTGGAGCATGATGGTACTGATAAGAGAGATGTATTAACAAAAGTGCTGTTTCAAACTCTTGGAACTTTGATAAGATATAGAGCAGGAAAAAATGAAGAATTGAGTCAGATTGTTTTTCAGAGTTGTGGTAGGACAGAAGTAAATATTATTATCAAAAGTGTGCCTAAGCATCATATACCTGCAAAAGAAGTCTATACATTAAGTATTACATTAAAAGATATAACTAGTAAGATGAGATTAGAAGGGGTTAGAAGCGATCTCCTAGAGATTTTTCTTCTTAAAGTGTCTCTTTAATACATTGTTAGCTAAGATATAATTTTGAAACTGATCACTCATTGTTTTCTAACTTAAATTTTTTCCTTGCTTGAAAAGTAATATTTATGATCTTAACTGCTTGTTCTAGAGTAGTATCTATGAGCTTTCTGTGGTCATAGCCCTGAGATATATTAATTTCATTCATCACAGTAAATAGCCCAGAGTAAAACACATAGGTGTTACCTAATACATATTTGACCGAGAAGACATGATAGATAAGAAAAGTAAAAAAGAACTCCCTGAATGTCCATGCTTTCAATAGTAAAGTTTTTTATGCCTTATGTTCCCATTTTTACAGGAATTTACTCTATACAGCTACATTCTTTTAGAAAAAAAAAAATTACTTGCTCTTGCAAAATAAACTTCTGTTCAAAGACACATCAAAAATAATGATAGCAGATGATCCTAAATAAAATTTTAAAATTTTAAGGAGCTCTTGAAAAAAATCTGTGTAACTTCTATAAATGAAGCCATGTCTTCTAAAGATTATGACTGTTATATTGCCGTATAAAACTACAGAAAAACCTTAAGAAGTATTTCATCCTAAAGGTTGTTTCCTGACAGCCGAAAGTACTATAGCATACTGGAATGTTGCTATAATTCAACTAGATTTTCCTAAATGGAATTTTATAAAGATATAAAAATCTATGCTGAGAAAATTAAACTGTAGTATGGACACAAACTCATCATTGTGATGTGTTTTGGCATGTGTAAGATCATATTTTTGAGCCTGGCAGTTAAATATGTATCTCAAGAAAACATTTTAAGATTTCAGTCCAAGGCATAATTTCTGGCTCAAGTGTTTCACATATCCCTGAAAAAGCCATTACTACACAAAGAGTTGTATTTTTGTTCCTTCAGCCCAATATTTTTATTGCAAAGGATTTATGTATGACTGAGAATAGTGCCCAACATTTTGTTAGTTGTAGATTTGAACAAAACTCTAAACTTCTTCTGTTTATCTATTCTGCAAAAAATAAGTGGCATGAATTTATGAAAATGGATGTCAATATCACTGTAACAAAAAAATGTTCTATTTTGTTTTTGTTTTCCATTTTAAGAAGAATCACTTCTTTTTTACGTTTATTTATTTATTTTGAGAGAGAGAGAATGTGTGCAAACAGGAAAGGGGAAGAGAGACAGTGAGACAGAGAACCCCAAGTAAGCTCCACGCTGTCAGCACAGAACCTGCAGAGCTCAATCTCACCAGCTGAAACCAAAAGTCTGACGCTTAATCTACTAAACCACTCATGTGCCCCAAGAAGAACCCCTTAATAGAATAAAATGAGACCTCTGCCTCCATGGTTTTCATCTAATTTGGGTGGATATCAATTGTTGAGTCATTACTACTTAGCTTGGTCATGGCAATAAACATAAAACACCCAAAAACACAATAGACAATAATTTCTACGTTTTTCTCATTAGCATTTACATTCAATATTTCCCCAAAGAAGTTCCTTGGTTGATTTGCCTTTCTTTATCTTTTTTCTTTCTTACAACTCTGCAGGAATGGTAGATGTACAAGCTTGAAGAACTAGTTTCTATACCTTAAAATCTTACCTAATTGTTTTGTTGGATATTTTAGGTGGCCAAATCCTTCATATTTTAGTAGAAGTTGCTCTTGAAAAATAAATCATAAACCACAAGTATGCAACTGGTCAAACTGAGAAGGGGGAATATTCTTTAAGACAACGTGCATGTTTATTTAATAAGTGAATAGGAAAAAAAAGGTACTGTTTTGATTAAAAAGACTTACTGGTCGTAACAACAAGATGTGAAATGCAATCCTGCAGTGAACCTTAGTTTTGACCACCATTTGTATGGACAGGTTTCAGATAACTTGAGAAGTTTTATTATGGGTTGATTAGGTAGCAGATGAGATAAAAATGTACTGCCATGTAAAGATATAGGCCATAGATTTAAAAGAGTGGGTTACAAACAGTAGAATCTCAATTAGAGAAAAGTGTGTGTGTGTGTGTGTGTGTAAAAATTTCTAGAAGAATATACAATAAGACACTAAACAGTTCTTGTATTTGGATAGTATGATTATAGTGCTTTTATTTTTGCATTTTTACTAATGGGCATTTTTAAATTCGATACAATGTATTTTTCTTTGGATATACAAGTTTGTTAAATGTAACTAAAACACAGAAAAATAAATCATTGTCTAAAAGTTTTTTATAACAATGACCGTATTTTTTCCTTTACTGTTTACTTTGTATTTTTTTCAATTAAGACTTAATTTTGCTATCCCCTGTCCACCTTTACAATGGAAGTACTTCTGCACATATTTCTAATCATTATTGTTTAATGTGTCTGAGACATTTCCCACTATGTTTTGTACAATTAACATTATGTTTTGCCAGACCAAGCTAATCTGAAAAGTTAATATTATTTACACATTTCCTACTCCATGAAATTTTGATGAACCCAGATATTTGTAGGTATAGGATACATGCTCATTTTTTCCCTAAGAGTTAATCCTTCAACTCTTTATGAGAACCCTTTGGATAAAGAGGAAATAGCCATTTAAGTGGCTTTTCTTAAATTGCTATATATCCCTCCTAGGTATAATGCTGGCTATTGCCAACTAAGCTATATTTCTGAAAGACAGCATTTCCTTTCACATGTGAGTCAGAGCAACCTCTTAAAAGGCTGAGATATTACACTATTAACAAGATCATAAGGGTCAAACACCAAGGGACCTAAAATTTTCTGTCATCTGTTATCTATAACATGAGTATTGTTTGTTGTCATTTGCCTGTACATTAAAAATGTATGGGGCCCTTAAAGTAGAAGACATAGGACACTTCAAGTGCCAACTCCAAGCTTAGATTAAGAGAATGTAATCAGGGGTGCCTGGATGGTTCAGTCGGTTAAGCATCTGACTTCAGCTCAGGTCATGATCTCACAGTCCGTGGGTGCAAGTCCCACATTGGGCTCTTTGCTGCCAGCTCAGAACCTGGAGCCTGCTTTGGATTCTGCTGTGTCTTCCTCTCTCTCTGACCCTCTCCTGCTCATTTTCTTCTCTGTTTCTCAAAAATAAATGCTAAATTAATTAAAAAATAAATAAAAGGATGTAATAAAATGATAATTTACCTTATTCTGTGATTCGGAAATACTACAATGAAACAGATATTCCCCCACTACTAATAGAAACTAATATAATAAAGATTTTTAGTCACAAATGAACTTGGCTTATTTATTTAAAAGCATATAATTTGGCTTTCATAATTTCATTTTGAATTTCAGAGATAACATAGTGTATTATATTCTATTGCCTTGAATGCAATTACCTGTCTTAAATAGTTATCTATAAAAGAGTAGTGCCTCCCCAAACTATACTACTCACATAGTAAGATACATTCTTATAATTTATTGCTATATTTGAACCATGCTAATCCTCACTGGAGTATACAAAATGTGAGAGAATATATGAAATTTGATTTTATAAACATCCAAACATTTTTCCTTCATTGATCTGTTTCTTTCCAGATCTAGTCAGAAAAAAAAAATGTATTAACGTCAATATAATTTATGATTAAAACTCAATGGCTCTCCAACTATTATACCATTTTCATTTAATGTCAAGGGCAGGCCATCCTCCTAAAAATATACAGCAATATTTTTCTTTAAAATTGTATACTTAGTTAAACTGGTATTTTGCCTAATGTAGTCATTGCAAAGAATGCTACATCTGTAAGATTCTTTCACAGGTATTTCACCAAATAAAAGGATTTCAATTTTATGATATAGGTTTCTTTTTTCTTTTTCTTGAATCCAGAATAATTTTCAATAAAGATAAGGGAAACAACCCAAAGTTCTATCAAACACTGATGGTACAATTTGCAACCAACATTATGACTTTAAATCAGCGAGTACACTTTTAGAAACTTCTAAATTAAATTAAATAATTTGGAGATGGGTCTCAGGATTCATTGGATCAGAC